AGGCTGCAGATCTGCTCTTTTCTGGTATTTTTCTAGACAATTCCAGCTTTTGCTGCTGGATCTACTGGAGGCCCAGTTCTATTCCTGATGCCCATATAAACTGAGACACTTTTGCCTCCCTGCTGTTTACCAATGAAAAATAAGCAAAAAATTCTATAGATTTCAACACTTTACCCAATGACAACTTTGTATTCTCTAGTCTTATTTTCCCTTCTTTCACTGTATCCAATGCTTCACCTAAACATGACATATTCTAAATATGTCATTTATTTTCCTTCTTCCACAGTTTTTCTTCTTTTTCTACTTGCAGATGAAGTCCTCAATATTTCTACTTGCAGATCAAGTCCCCTCTTGCAGTACCCGTCTGGAATGGGTCAACTTCTTAATGAAATCTTATCTGTTCTCCCTAATTGATGAACTTTCTCTATTCTAACGACCCCATTGCCTCTTTATATTTCATTGTGCTTGACCCCATCTTTATGGTATTAGTTAATTGTGTATTTACCATTCATAACAAATCCCAAAATGAAATTAGGGCTGTCTTCTTTTAGAACTAGATGAATAGCATAAAGGATAGGTGATGTGATTTATAATAAAAAATATACATGCCAAGCACAGAGCTCCTAAAACCTTTGGAATTTCCAAAATGAAGAGAGCTATATAGGTGTCTTTTGTTATGTTAATGAGGCAACTTTTGGAAAGCACCTAGATATTCTAGCCAAGAGTGTAGGGCACTCCAAACTCCACAGGGACAAAACCTTCTATGTTTGGAACCCTTCCAGACATGACTCATGTATCTCTTCATCTGGCTGTCCATTTGTATCCTTTACTGTCCTTTGTAATAAACTGGTAACCTAGTAAGTGAACTGGCTTCCTGAGTTCTGTGAACTGTTCTAACAAATTAATTAAACCAGAGAAGGGGGCCATAGGAAGCTGTGGGGTATGGTGGTATCTCCAAGTAGAGAGTGACCAGAGTGAGTTGAGATATAGGACACTCGGTGTTGGAGAACTGCTTGGTGGTATGGGGAAAAAAACAAACAAACAAACAAACAACCCCCCCCCCAAAAAAAAAAAAAAACACACACACACACACACAGTGGAGACAGGTAGAATGGGAGAAAGGTTATGAAAACCAGGCAAAGTAATTTTCATTTCTGCCTAAGGGCAACAAATAACCATGCTTGAACAGAGGAATGACATAAAAGGAACAATGGTTTAGGAAAATCTGACTTAATTTTGCACTTTAAAAAAATTCCTTTGAAAATACTGAACAGTCTCTGTATAGCTCTAGCATGACTGTAGTGTACAGCAATGAAAGGAGTCCCTATCTCAACAGAGCTTATAGGCTAGTGTGAGTGATGTAACTACTAGTATGATGCCATCCTGGTTTGCCCAGGTGGAGGGGTGTCCTGGGATACTAGACTTTCAATGCTAAAACTGGGAAACAGTCAAACAGCAAGTGCCAGTGGTAGCCAATTTCCCAAAATGGTCCCCAAAATACCCAATTCCTACCCTGTAGACCCCTCCACATTAAATAAGGTCGATCTTTGTAAGTACAGTCATGTACACAATAAGCACGTTTTGGCCAATGATGGACCACAGTTATGAGGGTGGTCCCATAAGATTATAATAGAGCTAAAAAATTCCTGTCACCTAGTGACATACAACACATTACTCACATATTTGTGGTGACGCTGATGCAAACCTGCCAGTCATATAAAAAGTGCATACAGTACATACTTGCTATAATAAAAGCCTATGCCACTGGTTTTTGTGTTTACTTTTTATTGGTGTGTACTCTAATTATAAAAGTTTGCTGTGAAACAGTATGCTGTGTTCTGCCAGCAGCAGCTCCATAAGTCTCCTGTTGACCATATTTTGGTTGTATCATTTTTTTCTTTAAATTTTTTCTCTCCCCCATCCCCTTTTTCTCTTGTACTTGATTTAATCTCGTGTTTTGTACAGGAACCTGCTGTACAGGATTGTAAACTGGAAGCAACAGTTATACCACACAGTCTAGGTATGTAATAGGCCATACCATCTAGATTTGTGTAAGTGCATGCACTCTATGATGCTCACATAACAAAACTGCCTAATTTGTATTTTTCAGAGCTTTTCCCCATCACTAAACAGCACACGACAGCGACAGCACATTGTGGAAACTGAGTGACTTCCCAGACCAGGTCATAAAAGACATTATGGCTTCCACTTTGCTCTCTTTGGAGGAAGCCAATTGCCATGTTATGAGGACACCCAACTCAGTGAGGAACGCAAATCTCTTGCTATCAGCCTGTAAACAAGCCATCTTTCAGGGTGTCCTTCAGCCACAGTGAAACCTTCACATGACTTCAGCCCGGGCCCACATGTTCATTATAATTTTGCGACATCCTAACCCACCCACATTCCTGATTTACAGAAACACAATTAATCAGAGTTTATTGTTTTAGGCTGCTAAAATTTTGGGTAATTTCTAGAGTAATAAATAACTAATACAGTGTTATAGAGAAAAGTTATGCTTGAGAGTTGGGGGTAAGAACTATCTATACTAATAATAGCCTAGGTGGTTGTCACACTCTCATGCTGTGATGCCCTCATGCCCTCACAATCCCACAACAATCCATCACCAGAAGACAGTATCCAGCGGGCGCACGCAGGTGGGGCTGGGACTGGAGGCTGCGTGTGCACCACAGAGGTGGGACACAACAAGGTTTGGGGGTCCTGCGGCCCCATACAGCATGGAGGTGGGACCCCCAGCCCCCACCTACCTCTTTGGGGCAATCCACCAAGGAGCCCCAAATGGGTGGGCAGGGACTACCACTTTGGGATGATCTATCACGGGGCTCCTGCACTGTGAGAGGGCATAGGCCAGGCTGGGGGACCTCCCCCCTACCCCCTACCCCAAATGTAAGAATTTCATGCACTGGGCCTCTAGTATTTGATAAAAGGGTATGGATAGACCTCTCTTGTAAAGGTATTTGGGCAGAAACCTTGAAGGAAGTAATCTAGTAAAAGAATGTTCCAAGCAGAACTTAAAGGATTTCTAAAACTTAGTACCAACAAAAGATGTTGGCTTAGACTAGTTAGAAGAACAGCACAGTTTCAGTATGACTGAAGAGAAGTGAGCTGAGTGGGAAAGGCGGTGTGGCAGGAGGTCAGAGGTAGGGGGTCAGGGTGTTGGCAGATCATATAGGGCTTCCTAGAACAAAAAGTAGCTTAGTCTGTTTAAGCTGCTATAACAAAATGCCATAGGCTGGGTGCCTTGTAAACAACTAATTTATTTCTCACAGTTCTGGAAGCTGGAAGTCCATGATCAGGGTGGCAGCATGGTCTGGTAAGGGACCTCTTCCTTGTACAGATTCTTACTGTGTCCTCTCCTGGATATCTTTGAAAAAACACTAACCCTATCATGAGGGCAGAGCCTACTCATCTCCTGACCCCCCCTCCCCTCCATCCTCCCACATCACCAGCTTGGACATTAGGTTTTCTTTTGACATATGAATTTGGGGATGGGGGTGGGGCACAAAAGTTCAGAGATCATAGAAAGATGCTTGAATTTTATTCTGAATCAAGGGAAGCCCCTGGAGGGTTCTGAGTAACACCGCAACATTGCCTTGATCTAGATTTTTAAAAACATCTCTTATCTTCTTTGGTGGTAAGAGCCACTTGGATTCTGAAGATGCAAGGTTCAGTCCCTAACTGTGATGACTGGTTCAGTTAGGCTGTACAGAAGAGTCTCAGAACTCTCTTAAGTCTTTTAACATCCATGTTTCCTATAAACTGCGAGGCTTCATCTGAGGCCATACATGAAATGCGGCTAGTCCGAATGGAGATGTGCTGTTCATTGTACAATACACTCGAGTTCCAAATTTAGTACCGACACACGAATGCAAAATTTCATTCAATCTTTTGGATGATAATATTGTGGATATACTACTGGGTTAAGTAAAACATTATCAATCTTAACCTCTTTCTTTTTGCTTTTTAAAATCCTGACTACTGCTCGATTTAAGATGGCCTGTGTGGCTTGGATTAGATTTCTGCTGGGCAGGGACTCGCCTGGCTCTTTGATCCTAGCTGGCATCTTTTTTTCATTCAGGACTTCCCTTGAGGGTTCGCCCCATACACCGGGCTCAGGCCTGGACTCCCCGGTTTTCTCTGTGAATTCCCTCAGCCTCAGGTCTGAGTGTCCAAGGTCCCTCCCTGGACTCCAGCCGAGCCGGCGAGAGCTCAGGTGGGCCGACACCTTGCTTTCGTGGCACCGATTCACCGATTCCCCTGGCGGCAGGGGCGGCCCACGAGATCCTCCGAAAAGCCCGGACCGTCGCGCTTGGGCGGAGGACCACCCTTGGAGTTCTCTCAGGCCCCGGAGCCGCCCAGGGCGCCCCACTCCCCCTTCCGTCCAGCGATCGCGGAACCACGTCACCTCTCTCTCAAAACCAGGAGGGAAAGTAAATGAAGGAAGGCTTAGGTCTAAGAGGCTTACGATCAACTCCCACCTCGCCTCGCCGGATTCAATCAAAACACTCCTCTGCGCCTACAAGCAACACCAGGCTGAGCCAATCAACGCCAGGCTGATCCAATCAACACCAAGCTAATCCAATCATCGCCCGCCTCAGGCGACTGGGCGTGGCCCGATTAGCCTATGGCATCCCTCGCCTCCCTGGCTTCTCATTGGAAGGGGGCCTGGGCGATAGGCGGGACTTCCGGTCAATCCCGGAAAAACTTCCTTTCCGTGGCATCTTTCCCCTCAGATACAGTCGGGGAAGTCGGTGCTGCCTCTACGCCTTCGCGATCGGTGAGGCGAGTTACGGTGCGAGCGCGTCCTGGGGTCGGGCCGGCCGCTCGCTCGGGTTCTGCCTCTGTCGCCTCTTATTTCCCGCCTGGGGATGGCGACCTACACCTGCATCACCTGCCGGGTGGCGTTCGACGACCCCGAGCTGCAGCGGGCCCACTACAAGACGGACTGGCACCGCTACAACCTGAAGCGGAAGGTGGCCGACATGGCCCCCGTCACCGCCGAGGGCTTCCAGGAGCGCGTGCGGGCGCAGCGGGCCGTGGCGGAGCAGGAGAGCCGGGGCACGGCCACCTACTGCGCCGTCTGCAGCAAGAAGTTCGCCTGCCTGAACGCCTACGAGAACCACCTCAGGTCCCGGCGGCACGTGGAGCTGGAGAGGAAGGCGGTGAGTCGCCGGGTGGAGATGATGAACGAGAAGAACCTGGAGAAAGGGCTGGGCGTGGACGGTGTGGACAAGGATGCCATGAACGCGGCCATCCAGCAGGTCATCAAGGCCCAGCCGTCTCCCAAGAAGGCCCCCCCCGCGCCCAGGAGGGAGCCCGGGGGGCCCGCGGCGGCGGCCGAAGGAGGACGGGAGGCGGACGACCGCGACCCGGCCGAGAAGCCTCCCCGGTTACAGTGGTTTGAACGGCAGGCGAAGAAGCTGGCCAGGCAGCAGGGCGAGGAAGAGAGTGAGGAGGGCGAGCTGGACGGAGACGGTGAGGGCCCTGTGGGTGTGTGTGTGTGTGTGTTGGTGTTGGGAAGATTTGCTTCTGGTGCCATGGAGAGAGGCGATTTCCAAATTGGTTAGGCGGAGGGGGCGTGGGGGCGTCTTTAAAGGAAAGTGATGGGAGCGCGTTCGATGCTTCCAGAAGTCGCTTGTCTGTCCAGGGAGCAGTCTGTTTGGTTCACTGTTGTAGATTCAAGGCCTGAAACCTTCCCTGGAGGAAAAATATGTTCTTAGTAAACACCTGCTGAGCGGATTGGTGGCTTCTCTGTTGTGAATGAGGAGGCTTTTGCATAGAAGGACAACATTCTCTTGGGATTCTAGTTACGGTGGATCTGCACTTGATTTAGTTGATTGTCACAATAAAACGAGAGGTCCAAAACCAGCTAGCTAACCAAAAATGAGCTGCAGCCAGCAACCTGGCTGAGTTACTTATTTCTTCTTTCCCTCGTCACACATCCTGTTAACGCTGAGTGTGTGTGTACATAAAGGTAGGGAAGACGCAATGACTCCTTCAAGGAGTTTACTGTGGGCTTGAAGAGAAAGGTTAAGGTATCTCTTAGCCTTACAGATTGGCCAGTGGTAGAGGAATATTTAAAACTTGAAAGAGGAGTGGTCCTGGGAGGTAAGTCAGCACTACCACCTCATGCTTGTATATTTGTGTGGTTTCTTACATTGTAGTCACCACTTGTCTTAAACTAACCTTGTTTTTCAAATCTCTGGCCTGAAGATTGGGAAGATATGGATTCTGACGAAGAAATGGAATGTGAAGATGCTGACTCGATGGACGAGTTGGAGGAGCAGGATGCGGAGGAGGAGGAGGCCGGGGGAGGCGCCCCTCCTGGAGCCATCTCTATAAAGGACTGCTTATTTTGTTCCCACCATTCAAGCTCCCTTATGAAGAATGTGGCTCATATGACTAAAGTCCATAGCTTCTTCATTCCTGATATAGAATATCTTTCGGATCTCAAGGGACTGATTCAGTATTTGGGTAAGTACAATAGCTTTCCTTTTAACGAGGAAATAGCACACAATTGGGGGGCAGGTCTTAAGGAAACATCAGTTTTATGTTTTTCATCAATCTTTGATTTAATTGCTAATACATGTTTATTTTGTGAAAATCAGAAATTTGGTGCATGTTTGTTTTTTGTTTTTTTTGAGTTGTACAGATACATGGTAAGATTGCACCTGGCCACATAGCTTTTTTTCATATTTTCCCCCCTCACATTATTTTGTCAGGAGAGAAAGTTGGTGTTGGGAAGATTTGCTTATGGTGCAATGAGAAAGGGAAGTCCTTTTACTCCACGGAAGCTGTGCAAGCACACATGAACGACAAGAGCCACTGTAAGCTCTTCACAGACGGTGATGCTGCTTTGGAATTTGCAGACTTCTATGACTTTAGGTAGGTCTGTGGTTTGTAATGTGAAGCAAAGTGAAGTCATTTTCTTTACATTGAAGTGATATGAGAAGTGCCATTGCCTGATATGTGTCTGGCACCATGCAATATAGTCTTTATAACTCTTATAACATCTCTATATGGCAGGTGATTCGCTCTTATTTTGTAGGAAAGAAACTGAGTGTAACAAAGCTAAACACATATATATGGTAAAGAGAAGTTCTCAGGCCCCAAACTGAAATTTGTTGGACTTGAAAACTCGGGGTTTTTTTTGGCGGTTTAAGGATCAGGTGTTCAGCTTTGCCAGTTAGCCTTATGAACCAGAAGCACAGGAATTAGGTTTTGGTTTCCCAGAGAGTCCTTCAGGCACAAGCTGTCTCCTCGGGGGTTTGAGGCGGTTGCTGAAATAGGCCAGTTGTGTGCATTTGATGGTGAGATGATCCCATAGGTGGCTCACCCTTTACCAGAAACTTGTATAATTGACATACTACGCACTGAATCTATGGTAGGCACTCCTTAACAGCTAGTGCCTAGTGTCAAGAGCCGACAACCTAGCACGGGTTGGTTGTACAATTATCATGCCAGGTGTGCTTACTCCATATGATCAAGTATTCAGAAAAGCCCTAACCTCTCAATTGTCATTTTGCATCTTCCTCCGTATTTCTCTTACAGTAAAGGAGAGTTTTTTGTTTTTGTCACTTTGGTATTTTTATCATTTTTGTATAGTGGTATCCCATTGTAGGTTTAATTTACATTTCCCTGATGATGACCACTGTAATTGAGTTCCTTTTATATATTAACTAGCCATTTAGATAGCTCTTTGTGAAGCATTTGACCAAGTCTTTTGTCTGTTATTATTTTGGGTTATCTGTCTACTATTAATATTTTATGTGCATTTCTCCAATTTCTATATATTTGTGGACATTTTTAGGCACACAGAGAGTCTTCTAGAACTGCACCAATATGGTAATTACTAAGTGCACTCATGTGGCTATTTAAGTTAATTAGAAATTAAATTAAAAAAAATTAGTTCTTTGGTTGCACAACTACATGTTATAGCTCAGTGCTTAATAGCACACTGATTTCGAACATACAATTTTTATATCCTAGAAGTCTATTGGACAGCTTTGTTCTAGAATTTAAAGAAAATTTTTTTTTCAATTACTGTTGACATACAATATTATATTAGTTTCAAGTGTGCATCATAGTGATTAGACATTTATATAACTTAGGATGTGATTACCCTAATAAGTCTAGTACCATCTGACACCATACATAGTTATAATATTAGTGGCCTGGTGTACATTGAAAGGAAATTAATTAGAAGAAAAATTTTAATATTGATATTCACCCTTTATATAGAAGTGTCAACCAAGTTCAAGATCGACAATGACAGATCAAAACACACGTGTGTGATTGTCACCAACAAGAGCTTTATATGTATTGTGCATGCGTGAGTCAGCGTTTATTTTTAAATTGTGAGCGCACATCATAGGTACCATCTGGTTGGATGGATGAACGGTTGGTCACCTAGCTTTTTATATTTGGAGATGGCTGAGTTGATGACAGCTGCATTTCCAGCTCTACATTCTCCCCTCTTCCTAGGGAGAAACAAATAGGTAAAAAAAATTCAATTATAGGCAATTTGCTCATTGTTTTTTTTTAGTACAATTTTAGGTTCATAGCAAAACGGAGCAGCAGGAAGAGAGATTTTCCATATACCTCCTGCCCCCACACGTGCATGGCCTCCCTGGTTACCAACACCTTCCACTTACTGTATATTTGTTAAAATTGATGAACCTACACTGACTCATCATTATTCAAGTCCATAGTTTGCATTAGAGTTCACTCTGGTATTCTACATTGATCAGATGTATAATGACAGATATCCACCATTATATTATGATGCAGAGTAGTTTCATTGCCCTAAAAATCCTGTATGTTCCCTTCCTCCACTCCTAACCCTGGAAACCACTGATCTTTATGTACTCCATAGATTTGCTATTTCTATAACTTCATGTAGTTTGAATCATTCAGTAGCCTTTTCACACTGGCTTGTTTGACTTATTAATAGGCATTTAGGGTTCCTCCATTTCTTTTCTGCTTGACAGCTCATTTCTTTTTGGTCTTGAATAGTATTCCATTGTCTGTATGTACCACAGTTTATCCATTCATCTAACGAAGGACATTTTAGTTACTTCCAAGTTTTAGCAGTTATGAATTAAGCTGCTAAAAATATCCGTGTGTAGATTTTTGTGTTGACAGTAGTTTTTAGCTCTTTTGCAGATATACCAAGTAGCAAGATTTCTGGACCATATGGTAGAGAATTACCATATGTCAGTGAATTACCATATGCCAGTAGTTTTGTAAAAAGCTGCCAAACTGTCTTCCAAAGTGGCTGTCCCATACCATTTTTCATTCTCCCAGTAATGAATGAGAATTTCTGTTGTTCCACAATCTCATCAACATTGGTGTTGTCAGCATTTGGAGTGTGGCCAAATTTAAGCATCTCATTGTTTGAATTTTCACTGCCTTGATAATATGATTTGGCACATCTTTTTACCACTTATTTGCCAGCTGTATATCCTCTTAGTGAGGTGTCTGTAGGATCTTTGGCCCATTTTTTAATTGGGTGTTTGTTTTCTTATTGAGTTTTAAAAGTTTTTTTAAAAAATATTTTTGATAACAGTATTTTTTCAGATGTATCTTCTGAAAATATTTTCTTTTATTTGTGGCTTATATTTTAATTCTCTTGATATTTTCTTTTCATAGAATAGATGTTTTTAATTTTAATGTAGTCCAGTTTATCAATTTTTTTCTTTCATGGATCATGCCTTTGTTGTGATACCTAAGAAAGGTTATCACAAAACCCCACGTTATCTAGCTTTTTCCTCTGTTATCTTCTAGGAGTTTTGTAGTTTTGTGCTTTCTAGTTAGCGCTATGATCTGTTTTGGGTTCATAAGTCATTTGTGCACTTTTACTTCACAGAAAATGTTAAAAAGTTTTCTGTCTATAGACCCTACAACTCTGTACCTTTTGGGTAGCTTAGTGGATTTGCCACATTTGCAAATGCAATTTATGTATTTAGCTAAATTTGAGGTATTAATCTATTTATTAATACCTTTCACTGTTTCCAGGAGTAGCTACCCAGATCATAAGGGAAGGGAGGAGCCTGATGAGACCGAGGAGTTGCCCTCAGAAAAGACCTTGGATTATGATGATGAAACCATGGAACTGATTCTACCATCTGGTATGTGCATTTGTCAAAAATAAGTAGCTTAGCCAGGCTGATTTGGCTAAGTGGATAGAATGTCAGCCTTCGGACTGAAGGATCCCCGGGTTGCAGGCTGATCCCCCTCTCCCCCTCAGTGTGGGGCATGCAGGAGGCAGCCGGTCCATGATTCTCTTTCATCATTGGTGTTTCTATCTTTCTCTCCCTCTTCCTTCCTCTCTGAAATCAATAAAAATATATATATTTAAAAAGTAAAAATAAATAAATAGCTTAATGCCAGAGAGACTATTGGAGCTGCATGTTCCCACCCATTTTTTCCATATTGATGGGAAAAGAACATAAAACCTAAAATGCATATTTGCGTTCTCAGGTTTATGGCACTCTCTAAAGGGTGCCAGTGAGCTCTGTGCTGGCTTTTTGTTTAAATTGGATCACTGTTTTTGCTTGCTTCTCTTCTGTCTGGTCAGAATGCTTTGTCAGGCATTTCTTTTCAAATATGTAGACTTCTTCTATTGATCAACTCTTTGGGGCCCAATCTAAGTTTTTCTTGTTCATCTTGACCGTATTCTTACTTTTTGAAATGATTCCTGTTTCCTTATATTGATAAGACTTCCAAATGGTAGTCTGACATGCGTGTATCTGGTTGACAGCAACCAGTGTTACTATTTCTGTTGTAGGGAGAAGTTTGGAGTTTGAATTCTGTCTTATACTGTGGGGAACAATATTCTTAATGCCAGTAATGTAGTTCCTGCAGATCAAGTAGCTGTGACGAAAAGTAGCCAGTAGAGGGCACTGTGGCATAATTCTGAAAGCTGGTTTGGCTCCTCTGCTTGAGGTATTTGCTCTTCAGTTTCTGTGGATTAAGTTGCTATGAAAAACATATCAAGTGAGCTGCTGACTAATCAGATGAAACTGTTGGTGGGTCCACAAGAGATAACTAGATAATCTTAAGAAAATTACTGTTGGAGATACTTTCCCCCCCACAATTTAATGTCGCTTGTTGTTGGGTTATTTGTTAGGCAGGAGTGGACAGTTCTGTAAGTGGTTATTGCTGTGGTGATGGATGGATGGATAGACAGATTGTGACTTCACCATAACTCAGACGTAACCCATCTGTTATATATTGAGCAGTATGTTCTAAAAATAATTTTCTTTGATGAGGCCTTCAAATTGAGCTGTTCTCAGCATGTCATACTTGGTGCTTAAGGTCAGGTGCTCACTGTCATTGACACATGGCTGGGTGGCTCTAACCACTGCATGTTTTTATTCATTCTGCTAGCTTTTGGAAATGAAACCTTTTCAATGATGTTTTTAAAAGGCAAACTTCAATAAAAATGTATTTCCAAATGTTGATTAAGAATATAAGTATATTGACTTATTATATTCTATTGACATTTTGGGCCAGATAATTCAGGTGTCCTGAGGTAGAACACCCCTTTCTGAGAACCACTGCTGTAGAGAATTTAAGCAAAGAGAGGTGGGTTGATTTCTGTTCTAGCCCAACTGTGGCTTGTAGGCCTTAACATTAAGATTATTCTCTGGGCTCAATATTCTATATATATATATATATATATATATATATATATATATATATATATATATATATATAAAAGTGAAAGTCCCCTATCTCCTAAGGCTGTGATTGGCAAACTGCAGCTCGCAAGCCTCATGTGGCCTCTTGAGTGTTACTCTTCCACAAAATACCACAGCCTGGGCAAGTCTATTTTGAAGAAGAAGTTTAAGTTTAAAAAATTTGGGTCTCAAAAGAAGTTTCAATCGTTGTACTATTGATATTTGACTCTGTTGACTAATGAGTTTGCTGACCGCTGTGACTTAGTCCTATTATCTGTATTAGTAGGTATTGCTATGTGAATTTCTAGGTAGGAATATTGTACATAAATATAAGATACTGAATGCTTCAGTTAAAAATTACCATTCTCTTTTTAAAAAAATCTCACTGCTTTTTTGTTTTCTTTCATTTTTCAATATGCTGCTTCATATTTTCAACAACTAGAACTGTCCCTCTGGCACTCCCATTTTCCACCTTGATACCCTGTAGAGTCTGATCTGGAAAGCCCTTTCTTTGTAGCTGTGTCTTGGAAAACTATCCACCTCAGTGTTTAAATATTGCTCCTCCGAAAAACAGGTGCCAGAGTGGGCCATCGCTCCTTGATGAGATACTACAAACAGCGATTTGGCTTGTCAAGAGCTGTGACAGTTGCCAAGAACCAGAAGGCCGTGGGCCGGGTACTCCAGCAGTACAGAGCCCTGGGATGGACTGGCAGCACAGGTATGTCGGTGTGGACAGCCACAGACCAGCCCATGCACTCGTTTTACAGCAGGGCTGGGAAGAAGTCGCTTCCATATATGTCATCTTTGCGGATCCTTTTTTAGGGGAAACTTAGCCTCTTGGCTCTTTGGCTTCCTTTACCGCTTGGTTTGTTTATGCAATAAACGCCCAAGTTCTGTGACTTAAAAACTTCATATTCCTGTAACTTTCTAAAACTGCATCAACACCATTAACTTTTTCAGAAGATAATAATAATAAAAAAAAAAAAATTAGTAATCACCAAACGTTGAAAAAACCCTGGAGATTACCCAGAAGAATTAAGTAGTATCTTTGTGGCAAAAGTGAAGTCCTATCTGATGTACTTGCAGGGTCTTATATGATGAGCATGAGTAATTTAATTCACTTACACCTTTCTTTCATTTATGAAATGGTGGTGATAATAATAGGACCTACCTTGTAGAGTTGTGCGGGTTGATTATCATAATACATGAGTGCTATAGTATATGAACATAATCAAGACTAGCCATCACTCCTTTATGTAACTTTCCCATTGAAAACAGTAATACTGAGTCAAGCAATAAAGCAGGCCACTGAAATTGTTGGTCTTTGATGCATCATCATTATGAAATTATTTAAGGGTATTACGATGTGTCTGCTGTATGAGCTCTGTTCTTAGCTCTTCTGGGAAAACATCCATCCACTAAAGGACTGTGAGATGATCAGAGGAGAGCTCTTTTTTAATGGCCTGGAAAGCTATGTCCAACCAAAATCCAATTTCAAGGCCACTATGTTTATATGCACTCGGGTTTCCTTTACTGTGGCCACCTGTGAGCTTTTATCTTTAGGTCAGAACAGATGAAGTATAGGGAAAAGTAGCAGCAGGAAGGCTCTTTCATCAGTCGGCTTCCTCTGGTTCTCAGGCAAGGAGGACACCTGTGCAGGAGACTGTGACTCAGTCTGAGGCCCTAAAGTGCATCTACTGGGCCACTTAAATCTAGCAGACACTGATTTTACTTTATGCTTCTCAGTTATCTGACTCGATTTATAGTCTCTGCTTTTCTCTGTCTCTTTAGATAAATGGCACTTGAGCTTATGGGCTTATAGACCCTTGTCAGATTATAAAAATTAAAGTGGTTCATCCCAGAGAGGAGATATATATATATATATATATATATATATATATATATATATATATCTCCAGAATATGTGTGTGTGTGTATATATATATTCTGATATGAAGTGTGTGTGTGTGTGTGTATATATATATATATATATATATATATATATATATATATATATATATGAATTCTGGGGTACACATAAAACCCTGGCCCACTGCGTAGATATCCCAAGTTAGCAACTTTTCTTTAAATATAAGAACCCCAAACTAAGTTTGAGATTCTCTGCAAAGATTGGGTTTTCTCTGATCACAACAGACATTTGCTTCATTCTTATCTCCTTTCCAACAACAGGAGCAGCTCTTATGAACAAACGGGACATGCAGTATGTCCAGAGGATGAAGTCAAAATGGCTGCTGAAGACCGGAATGAAGAACAATGCCACCAAGCAGATGCACTTTAGGGCCCAAGTGATGTTCTAAGGGTCTGCTGTGGATTGAGGCATTGTCTCCTGCACAGTGGGCCTTGCCTGAGAACCAGCAGAAGCTGATTGTATGACAGTCCTTTTGCTGCTACTTCTCCCTGTACTTTATCTGTTCTGACCTAACAATAAAAGGCAGAATCATATTGGCTCTTGAATATTATTTCTGGTCAGAGTTTAAAGGTTTATGTTTTCACAAAGTGTCTACTGGACTCAGGACTTGCACTACTGCTGGGAAATGTCTTTTTCTTAGCCTTATCAGATTTATGGCTGTCAGAATAATATGGGAAACTCACTAGTGACTTGTCTGTTCCAGAGTTTACCTTTCTGAAGAAGGACTTAGCAGATTATGGCACTGGAACCTAGTAAGAGGGCTTAGTTGAAAGAACCCATTTGAATGTGCGGCGGCTCATAACGTGGTGAAAGTCTGGCTCTTTCATTAAATTCAGGCAAAGTTAAAGGGCATGTCAGTGGCTTGCTGTACAGGCTCTTCCTTTCTAAATATGAACACAAGAAAGACGGGGCTGTGCACTCAGTTTCCAGCGCTGCTTTTATTTGAGCAATTAGTTCAGGAAGGAAATAAATAGTTTTTACATCTCATTTTAGAAACAAGTTACCTAGGGGTGAAGAAACACAAATCCATTGAGCTACCTTTATGCCTTAAAACTTGACTTGGTTTTCCTATCTGTAAAATGGGGTGTTTACTACCTCAGGTTGGAGTTAAATAAATTTGCTAGAGGACCTGTCAATTATTCAGTCCCCAGCATAAAGGCCAAAGTCTCTGCTACTATTTTGTTCTTTCATAGCCACATGCAATTTTTTTAAAGGTTTTAAATAGACCAATTACTCTTTTTTAAAGCAGGTTTTATTTTTAAAAAATATATTTTTATTGATTTCAGAGAGGAAGGGAGAGGGAAAGAGAGAAAGATAGAGAATCATTGGCTGCCTCCTGTAAGCCCCACATTGGGATCAAGCCGGCAACTTGGGCATGTGCCCTGACGGGGAGTTGAACCATGACCTTCTGATTCATAGGTCGATGCTCAACCATAGGAATGCTGCTATCCCTAACTTCATGCTTGATCATTTTTAATTTCCCTGTTTAACATATTGTTGTGATTGATCTTTGGTCTCCAATTTTTTTATTATTCATAATTCTTTTTAATTAAATTTTAAGATTAATCCAAATTAACTCAAAGTTGATCATTTTGCTAAATCCAAATTTGTAATCCAATCCCTATGGATATTTCCACTCATTGCCTGTTGTCTTTAAGACAGCCAGTTGACTACATTTACAGTGGCTATAAAGTATGGTATTACAGGTTTTTCATCATATGAAGTTGGCACTGGCTGCTGCAGCTGGCTGCCCATGACTGTGGAATCTCTCCTGGGAGTAATCTCAGGACCACATGGCCCTTGCTAGTTTATGTGTCTGTCTTTAGTTTTGAGACATCAAGACTGGGATCAACACTGATTATAGTGATGGCGACACAACTCCGAATCTTCTAAAAAGCCAATGAATTGTAGGCTCTAAATGTGTGCAGTGCCTGGTGTGTGAATTATACCTCAATAAGATGTCTATTTTTAAAAGACCGGGGTTAAAAGTCAGAAAATATAATCTTATCACCTCTCCAAAGGTTTTACCTGTGGCTGTGCTGATTGTTTGCACTGCATGTCTACAGAATGGATGCAGGATTGACTGCTTTACTAGATGTGAATTTGTGGTTTAGTGAGCATACTTTTATGCACCATTTTCCCCCCTCCACTGTGAGGTGTAGGTAGCATTCTTATTTTAAGGAGCCACCACCTTTTCTTGCCTAGAACATGAATAAATTTGAATTTTGCCCCCCACAATTTTGGTCACTTGTGGATTCATAATTGTTAAGCTGCTCTCCTCCACCTTAGTTATTTCTAAATTCTTTTTAAGATCCCATTGGACATTATTAATTTGGAATTCACAATAATTTGTATGCAGGAGACCACCTGTGTTGCCATCCCAGTGTGCAGACTTCTTTGCAAGATAATCTTGTCAGTCTAGAGAAATTTATAAATGCTTTGAAGAATACATATTTCATTTAGCCTTATTTGTAATCAGCACATTATGACATAAAAATTGATGAAGATTAGGAAGATTTGGTTAGCTTGATAATACTGCTGCAAACATTTGAATGTTGACGTAATAATTTATTGATCACTTGTGGGCTGAACCTGAGTGCTCAGGATTGTATGTTGAAATTCCTCTATAGTACAAACATATCAGTAACTGACAGGCCAAGAAAAACCTATTTCTCCTCCCAGTAGTACATACTATACTGGTCACGACTACTCTGTAAAATCAAAGCTTTTTCAGCTCCTTCAGAAAACCTTTTAGTATAAGCTATTTGCTGAGTAAACATGTTGCATTTCTTTTGAGGAAAGAATGCCTTTATATTTAGCAGATACCTAAAACTACAAGCACAGCATTAAAACTATATTTAAAACCTCAATTCTGTTTCCTAAATCTTTAATGTTTATTTCATTTAATACGATCTCTAAATCCTGAATTCATGGCATTCGTTATATTACTCCCTTATATTTTATTATTAATTATCATGTTTGCTATTTCATCCTCAAGTACCACTTTCACCTGGAGTGATGTGTCTCCCACATGCTGCCCTGCCCAAGCTTGCCCATTTTCTAACACAGCATCTGCACATATGGAAAATGAGACTACTTCTAAAGGCAAGTCACTGGGGGGCTGGTCCCCAGATAGGAATGTTTCTGTCGGAGTCTATAGCAAGGATTCCATGAAACTTTAAGATACAATTGCTGCCTGGTTGCAGCCACATCTACCTAGGAGATTCACTGGGTTGTTCTTGGTACTCCCTTATTAAATGTAATGGTAGGTGAGCAAGTACAGTAGCAATGGCTTGCATTTGGCCATTTACCACCACAGCCATGTCTTCATGCTGACCTAGGGCTCAGAGCACTCAGGAATGAGAACCTGGGTCACCCTACCAGGTAAGCAACCCAGACTAGCAGGAGTGCTACGTGCCTAGAAAGGGCAATAAAAGAGGGAGATAATGATATCAGCTATAGGTGGCAAGGATTGCAGTTTATCCCCTAAACTTTCTCTTACAAGTTTCCCTGGAAAAACTGATAATTCAGAATCATATGGAGCTAGTTTCAGATGGGATGAGAGTATAAGAAGGTGTTAGAACTGAGAGGCTCAAGGGGTGGACTGTAATGGATGAACTGTTTTACTCCCTACCCTTCCAGTTTGGACCAAAGAATTCATTTCCCAAGCAGTGAGAAGAGCTGGCCATGACTCCTGCACAGGGATTCATCAGTGAGTCCTTCTCGGGAATGGCCCAAAGTTACAGTCCATTACCAAGAGATGGACTTATATGAAAATAGAAAGGCTTGGCACCTTACCTCAATGAGGACACTCTGAAAGGCCACTCCCATTTCCCTGAGGTATGGGCTAAGAATTCTTCGCACTTGCGTCACAGCTCATCTGCTCCTCTCACCTTCACAGGTGTGCTTCTTAGAGCACATCCCAATAAAGCCCCTGCATGTGACCTTCTATCACAGAGTCTGGTTCCCAGGAACCTGACCAAAGTGCATACTCCAGTTTGGTTTAAGCCTCTTGTAAATGCCTTTATTGTCCCAGTGCTTTAATGCTGAAGTTAGATACAAACTAGCGAATCAGAGTAAATCCTTTCTCCTTCACAAATTGAAAATTAAAATATTCAGTAGTTTCATTCAGCAGAAAACATTTGAACACAACAGGTTTTTGCTTCTATGGGAAGGCTCCCCACATAGCATCCTTCCTTCAGTGAGCTTTTGGTGTTTCAATTATTTATTTTCCAATCAAGTTCTAATCCATTGTTTAGATAGATGTTTCAAAGGTATTTTGAAAATGTAGTGTGTTTTTAAAATTAGATCCCCAGCTGTCATTATATGGAATGTGTGTGGGCATATGGTGAATGGTCTTATTTTTAACCCCTGAATGCTGTTGGCTTGCTTCGTTGTATCCCTGAAAAAACAAGGCTGTTAAGAGTGTTCTTTTTCTCACTCCTAGCCTAGTTTTGTTTCACTTTGTTACCCACAGCATCAGATTTTTTTTTTTTCTGGGGTGGTGGTGGTGGTGGTGGTGGTGGGATCAGCACCTTCACCTCTTTAAAGATCACAGACAATTGATCTGGGGAATTTATGTTCTCTTTCCGTCTCCAAATTATTTCTTTGCGACAGGAAAGACATGTTCACTAAGCATATCATAGATCTTTTAATTCACTTAATTTATTTCTGAAATTGATAGTTCTCATGATCTTTCTATTTAAAGTTTTGGCAGTGGGTAACAAAAGAACATAGTTTATCTTTTCTAAATCATCAGTTTCAAAACTAGTCAGATAATTCGTGCAGTGTTCCATTTCAAATATAGATAAGAAATCAGCAAGAAGCATATGGAGCAGGTTTTTCTGCCAGTTTTTCCTCAGATTATTTATGGAATATACCAAAACCACAAAGATAGACAGACTAGTATAATGAACCCTCATGTACTCATCACTCAACTTTGACAATTATTAACACTTTATAAATCTTGTTTCATTTACCCATCTCTACCTCCTGCTCCTTCCCATCACACTTAAATACTTATATTCTCCCCCCACCCTCCTCTCTCATACACACACAAACTCCACCGACCCCCAGAATAATTGAAGAAATACCAGATGTTATGTCATTTTCCTTATAAAGTACTTTATGCATTTAAGCAATAAGACTTTAAAAAGGTAACCACCTGGGTATTATATACCCAACAAAAATATCGTAAATTCTAATACCCAATGCATATTCTGATGTCCCCAACTTTGTCTCAAATTTGTTCTTCTACAGTTGGCTATTCAAATAATAAGAAGAAATAAAGTCCAAAGTATTCAGATTACATAGTTCCTCATGCCAATGAATTTGTTGGTGAAATTGAATTATTTATCCTCTATGTTTCATATTCTAGAATTGCACCAT